TTTTGATAGTGCATACATAATGTTATATATATATATATATATATATATATATATATATATATATATATATATATAACCAAAAACCCATTCACGGGAGGAATATAATCGTGACATAATTGTAAATATATATAATATATCTATCAATTTATACTTTCCCAAAAAATATGGTATTTTTTTTCACTTTTCTAAAATATTATATTCTTTACTACTTTCCAAAAAAAAAATCATTAAGATATTCTATCACACTTTTTGACTTTACAATAACCAAATGGATTATTTCCATCACATCTTTATCTTCAACATTTTTCACAATCCAAACAAAGCAAGCGGAGCAACCATTGACCAGTAGACATAGACTCAGTCAATCGTACTCCAGTGCGGCAGACATGTAATTTGATATTTTTTTTTTTATCATCTAAATTTATTATTATTTGATATTATAATTTTAATTAGAAAAATTTTTAGTTATTACTATCAAAATTATTTTAGGGCTTGTTATTTTAAATTTTAGTTTGTGTTTCTATTTTTTTCACATATGTGTTATATTAGAACAGTTAGGTAACTGTATTATTTTCTTTTTCATATCTTATTCTTGATTCATTGAATATGATTTTTTTAGTACATTTAATTGAATGAACTCAACTTTGAAACAACAATGAATAATTTGAAAAATCGTTGTGAATGTACTGAATAAAAATATTATGAATTAATGTTTTAATTTTTACATATATTGTTTTGGTTCAAATTATATATATATATATATATATATATATATATATATATATATATATATATATTATTGTAATTAAAGATTTCCCCCACTGTCTGTTTGTTTGGTAAAAAAAAAAAAAAGTTGTCCACTAAATAAGATAAAGAAGAAAGGGTTAGAAGACGAAGCGGGGGAAGGATGATAATGTTTTTGATAAAATTAATAAGATACAATTGAAAAAGTTGTTGATTAATCAATGTGAAAAATTCTACCTCATGACCAACAGGGCCTAGCGGGAACAAGCTCCTACTTTCCTAAGGAATGTCAGGGTTTAATTCTTGGTGGAAACATGTGCGTGGTTTTACCAACTAAAAAAAAAAAAAAATTGTACCTCGTTTCACCTCATCTCATAATTGTATGCTTTTTTTTTTTTTAATAATTAGTCATTTTGATTTTTCATTTTTTATATTCATTTGAATTCGCTAATGTTAATATTTGGCAACACCAAATTCATTCCTTAAATTGAAACTGTGATAATGTTAGTTTAAAAAGTATGAACTACACAATCTCACAATATACATGACACAAATTATGATCATGTCATAAATAAGATTGATAGGATCATGTCATAAATAAGATTGTGTCATGTAGGTAGTAATAATGATGGTATAGGTCCTACTTTTTAATATAATTTTCTATCCTTGTGTCTCACATATTTTTTCTTTTCTCTTGATCATTACTAACTTTTTTTTCTCCCCTCAAATTACAAGAGCCAATAGAACGTGTTAACATTGGATTTTAAAATTTTTATTCATCTTATATTCCTTGGGCCCTAAAAATGTTCTATAACCATATAATTATGTCACTACAATTTAATTCATATCTAAAGAATAAATGGTATTGAAAACTGATAAAAACCTTTGTTACACTTCATCTGCTCATAGTTTTTCTCACTTTCCTAAAGTTTCTATTAAACTATAATACAAAAATCTAATCAGTCACTTTGCATATTTGTACTAATATATTAAACAGTATATCTTTCAGGAAAGAAAAAAAATAATTTCAAACGATAAAAACTTTTTTATATTTTTCATTTAAAATCTCAATTTATATTTCTCGTTTAAAGCCTCAATTTATATTTGAGCCAGCACTAATTGAGTGTGTATTTATGTCGGACCTAGAGAGAGATTTCTTACTCCTTTACTTGGAAAAATTCTTCAATTCGATTGACAATGTTATGAAAAGTCACGGCAACATGTATTAGTAATAAACAAAACGAAAAGCCATGCATACACCATGATTTGACTTATAACCTTTGTCCATAATATTGAACACCATGAAGAGATTTCACCGTACAAAAGAGAATTGTCTTTCAATTGATCACTACACCTCTTTTATATCTGAATAATCATGAAATGGTCCTCAGTTTGATCCAGAATGAAACCTAAAAGTATTAATCTAAGGCTATGTTTGGGAGACTGAATCAATACCTTAAAATTGAAATCGAAATTATATATCTAGTAAGAGGAAATTTAGTTCATACATTGAACGTTTGAATTAAATTTTTTTGAATTTCAATTTCAATGTGTCAATTATGTACTTTCAAATGCAACATAAGAGTAATGTTTGCTTAAAGCAATACTAATTTGTTCAGCCACTTGAATTGAACCACCAATGATTTCCTTGGAGTACCAACCATTCACGGGTAGGTTAACTCACATGGGTTAGAATCACTTGAGAAGGATTTTTTTTCCTTATTTGTACTTTCTTCTGAGCCCTAACAAGAAGCATGTATTATGTGTGCCCGGTGCACCGTACACTGGACACATCACAGCTGTCTGTATTATACACGAGCACAACATATGTAAGCATAGACGACTATGATGTACTCGGTACACCACACCAGACACATCGTATATATTCTCACCAAACTTTGAAACCTCTTTTATGAAGCTGTAACAGGGTCACAGCAGTAAGAATGATGGCCCAATATATATATTTTTTAATGAGCTTCATCTCACAAACTTTAGTAAGTAGTAAACATTGAACATGTTTCAATATTGGCCCGTCAATTTTAGCAAGTAGTAAACACTGAACGTGTTTCAATATTGGCCCATCAATTTTAGATAAGAATCACACCATTGACCCTTTTAGTGGCCCAATCTAGTACTCCACAGATAGGCCCACCTAACTAGTGGGAAAAAGAGCCTCTCGTGATAGACTATAACGAACCATAAAAGGAACAATGGTAATGGCCCAATCTGAAGTTTGATTAAATGAGAGTGTAAAAGTGTAGTTGCACATTCATGGGCTAATCCAATATTTAAAGGCATAAAATGTAGATTTCTGCAAACAAGAAGACCAAAGGAATTGGTTCCCCCGCCTTCTAAAGAAAGATGACGCATAAAAAGTAAAAACTATATCAAACGACCCCTAAAGGTACGGTCTGAATAACCTTTGCTATTACAACGTCCAAAGGCCGGGTCACTCAACTATATCCCCACTAGGAGTTAGGCTAGGAGTTAGGCAAGAGTTCAACCCCCACCACTTTACTCTGGAACCCATAACTATGTTTTTTTTTTTTTTTTTTTTTTTTAAAGACAAGAAGTGTTATAAATTAAATTAATAGATGCAAGGAGTCAAAATTTGATCCTTTAAAATTCACCGAATACACTAACTCAGTGGACTATCGAAGTATCTGCGAGCCCACAACTATACGAAACACCAGATTAGTCGAATGTCAACACATATAACATTGTTCTATGATAAATTCTTTTAGAGAAGTCTAAATATTTAAAAATACGTAACAATTGCAATCATGAATTTTCTTTTCACATTTGAAATTTTACATTACGATGAAAAATAATAAACGAAAAATGCTCTAATTAATGATACGTCATATATTTCTATAGTATTAATTATCAGGACAGATTCGAATTTTTGACGGTCTTCCAAACTCACCCTTTAACTCAAAAAGAATGCACCCAATCCCGTCGTGATTAAATTGACGTGTAGATTTTCATGGTAGAGTGATTTCAAAAAAATTAATTGAAGAAGTTTAGAAACACAAACATTGCACATTGGGTATAGGATTACCATAGTTTGAGACAAGTAAATCAATTATAAAGTGGATAAAATTATAATACAAATACTAGACTTTTGTAATCTTATCCTCTTTTATGAAGATTATATTAATGAGTCATATAATCCTTCTTAATTGGTGTCTGTCTCATGTTATTCTCACTTTCTGTATACATTTTTTATTCTCATTTTTATTATTTATAATTTAATTTTACCCATTTTACACACCCATAACGTGACTTAGCTAGGTGATCCATGGAAAGATTTAAGTCAAAAGGAAGACTTTGGTATGTTCCCTTTTAAAACCAAAAATTAAAATGGCGCTTGAAAGCCTTCAATGTTTACATGTGGCAACGCGTGAAAGAAGTCTCTGAAAAGGCCAAATACACGGCAACTACTATTACAATTTCCTCTAAACTAAACACCCTTTGACCCTACCAAATACCTAGTCTCATTTCCATATAACACCATTTTTTTTTTTTGTTATTACAATAATGACCTTTTATTACTTAATAAACTACAAATCTTGCCATTCCCATGACCAAATCCCTCCAATGAACAAGCAAGCTACATGCGACTTATGTTTTTTTTTTTCTTTTTCCTTGAAATCAAAGAGAAACTAGAGTGATAACCTAGTTTAAACATTGACTTAGTATCATATTATCAAGAAGTAATCTCAATCTTCAGCTTTTAAGATTGATTATTATAGAAATAAGGCCTTGTTTGGCATGCATTTTGTTATTGTTATTTTTGTTTTTAAGCTGTCGCAGTGTAAATTTTTGGCAACAAAAGTATGTTTGGTGCGATTTTGTTTTATTTTATCCAATACTAAAACACTTCGTGAATAGTGGCCCAAAATCAAAATATCAAAAAATTATTTTTTTCTTATTTAGACAACTATTCATGACCTAAAACCGACATTTCCACAGCAAAATATTATTTTCAAATGTGCTTTTAATTTTTTTTCAAAACACTCTTATAACAAAAACACTGTTGTTTTAACAAAAAAAAAAACAAAATACTTAAAACAAAAGCATGCCAAACAGATCCTACAAATTAAACTTTGGTAGGAAGCAAAGAAAAAACTTTCCTAGGAAGATTGCAAATCTAATGGCATTTCTGAAATTTCTTAGAACTTTGAAGGCAATATAATTGCCCATTTGAACAAGACACCAAGCTTAACTACGGACCAACAAGTCTCTCTTTGTGTGTCCAAATTTCAATTTAAATTCGATCACTCCTCCTCTTCCTTTTCTCTCTAAAACATTCTCATCTCTCTCTCTCTCTCTCTCTCTCTCTCTCTCTCTCTCTAAAACCATAACAATGTCCGAAGGTGGCTTGACTGTATTCGACGGAACACACCTGAGAGCCGTCGATCTCTCTCTGCCGCAATCTGACCACATCGTCACCGGAGCTCAGGTCCTCGAACTCGCAGAATCCAGTGCTTCGTCTTCGCTCTTCGGCCTCTCATTGCCGGAGAGTCTCAAGTCATCTGCTCTCAAACGAATCGACGTCGATGCCGTCAGTTTCCGGCGTACGGAACTTCACCGAGATCAAGCCTCTGCCAAGCTTAAAGAGTACGTCACTGCGATCGCCGATGAACTGAAAGGTATTTGACTTCGAGTTTTGTTCCAAATCAACCATTACTTCACACAAACACACATACGTATCTGCAATCGTAAACGTGTTAAATCATTGAATATATTGTGGATGATCCGATAAATGTATCGCTTTAATTGAACTAAAAGGTATTGATTTAAAAGTTTCTTCAAAGTCAAGAATTACCTTTAAATGTCTATATCTATTCACATAATATACGTAACACATACGTCTAATGATTGGATATAGTGGTTGATGATCCAATAACTGTATCGTTTTAATTAATTAGGTTATTTTTAGTTTTTTGATGTAAAATCTTCTGTTTGATTTAATCGTTTTTTTAGTACGAAAGTAGAGTTCGTTTGCAGAAATTTTACTGCTATTTTGGTACTTCTGTTTTTAGTAGATTAGATTTTTGTTTGAGGTCGATTAAGTAGTTTTGGATGATATATTTTTGAATCTTTTGTTCTGATGATCCATCTATTGGTTTTCAACTTTGTTCAATTGTCATTTCTATATATATATATATATATATATATATATATATATATATAATTTGATAGGCTGAAATTTGCGATTGAGTTAGTTCATTTGATTGGTTTATTATTTGTTTCTATTTCAGCAAGTTGAATATCTTCAAATTGTTATTGAATTTCTATTAATTGTTTATTAGTTCCTTTCAAATAATCCACTATTGTATTGGTTTCTAACCCCTCTGGATTACTATTGCAAATATATATATATTTCAAATAAAGAGTTGGATTTGTTTTTGTTTGATAGATTTGAAATAGTCACGATGAGTGGAGTCCTACTGAAAGCTTCCTTATTTTATCATATACTTTTATTAGCAATTAATGATTTGTTTGTATTGATTTTCTGCAACTGTCTTATTTTATTTGAATTTAGCTTCATAATTTAGGAGTTCTGTTTTCTTGTTTGATTGATTTGGAATGAAATCCGAATGCAAAATACTAGCTATTATCTTTTTGTTGTTTTGGTGGGTATCTGGCCACTGTTTTGATGAACTCAAAATTGACTAAGTGCATGAATTCGACTTTCGTGTTTAGATGATCCACTTGTTGTAGCGATTTTGGATGGAAAAACTCTTCGACTGTTTATGGAGGACGAGGATGATTTTGCAATGTTAGCGGAGAATCTTTTCACTGATCTGGACACAGAAGATAAGGGAAAGATCAGTAAGAATGAAATACGGAATGCTCTTGTTCATATGGGTGTTGAAATGGGCATTCCCCCTTTTTCAGGTATTATTTTTGCTTCACCATGTGACCTAGTGAATTATTTGAGCATATGTAATAGAATAAACTATAATTGAATAAATGAATTTTGCCTAACAGAAATTTTGTTTTATCTTATTGATTGGGTATATTGATCTGTATTGACTTACCAATGATTTACTAGTACTAGTAGAGATAACTTGTTAATATTCTTCATGATTCACTAGTCAATCAATTTGCTCTAATTGTCATCTTAAGATGACTATGATTCTCTTTCTTTTAGCGACTCTGGAATAACACTCCATCGAGGAAATATGAGAAGTTGTTCCTCCAAGCCCATCTGCCTCATCCATGTCTGAAATTAATTAATCTAGGCACCCAAGTATTTTCTAGACCACACCATCTATGAGAATGCACTCTAGATCATTAATAATACGAAGGGATTTCCTGTATGCACTAAAGAATTTGTTGACCAGGGAAAAGGCCATGCTTTGCGCTTTTCCTTCTAAGATAAGACTTCTTGAGCCTCATGCTTCCATAACTTGCAAAATATTTTTACATATTTGTTTTTGTTATTTATTTGTGGTCAGCAAGGAAATATCAATTAAAATATTAGAAAATGTATAAGGTGTTGTGCCAATGGAAGCTTTGAGATTATTGTGATCTATGGAAGCTTTGAGTGTGGGTATGTATGCTGTCAAATCTCCAAATAAAAAGAGACATGGACACTGCTAAATATTCATATATTTTTAATATTTTTATTTTATTTTTTAGAGTAAAATAATGTCTTTACATAGCATAGTGTTCAATATAGGAATTTCACTCATTTTGAAGCAATAGTATAATAAAATAGATTTATTGGATATGTTTTTTAGGCGCACATCTATTACCCATCTTCAATCATTGTATGTAAGACGTATGTCAGACATGGGTACTTCTCCTACTTTTACTTTTTTTTTTTTTTTTTTTTTTCATAGTTGGCACTCACACACACATGTCTCAATTGAGACTTGAACCCCTGACCTCCCTTTAGGAAGTAAGAGGCTAATACCGCTAGGCCACTGGCCCGTTAGGTACTTCTCTTACTTTTGTAGAGTTTATGTAACATAGATTGTGATAAATCAAAGAATATGTTTTGAAACGAGATCAGTATCTGGACACTATCACACACCCACAAATCACATAATGTTTTTGTATTTTGGCTTGAATTCTATGCACACAATCAAACACAATAAAAAATTCCACTGAAGAATTAAAGGAACACAGAGAAGGCTGCCAAAATCTCAAGCCCTAATCCTGTCATAAAGAAAGGAAGTTCTCTCTTGTTCACTTCTAAAACTCCAAATGCACCTATGTGTTTGTGCCTATAGACAAACCCAAACCAAGTTGGACTAAAGCACTTTTCTTGATCAAACACTTGTACATATGGATCTTCGGCAAACCGTGTACTAATACTCTCTGGTCTCCATTGGTTTACATAAACACTGTTCCAGAATAGATCTCTTAGCGCTTCAACACCCACACATCTCACATTTCTCTTTGAAGAGTATTTGGCCTCATGTTTAATAAACCGTCAGAATTGGATAGTGCTGACGTTGGCATGCTACATGTCAATGGAAATTATTTTCAGGTTACTCTTTGGTATGTGATGTCTAGGTTACTTGGTAGAAAGATCAAATTAAGTCGATTGTCATTGAGAGTGAACTGAGGGAAGATATCGTATACCAGTATCATCGTTCAAAATTTTATATTCTAACATGATCTTCAATTGTACTCCAGGGAAGTTGAACATCAACCACTGCTGTCCATTTCACTAAAAGTAGAACTCAGAGTGACTGACCGAAAATCACAATAGTTGGTTCCTCAAATTATATTATAACTGGTAATGATTGAGCGAAGATTGCTATCATACAATTCTAACTAAAAATCTTGATTAAATGGACCATTCACATCACAGGATGACCTAGTCCGTGAGGTTACATAAACATTTGCTTTGTCAATCTGATGTGACCCTAATCCTGTAATTTGAATGATTGTGTATGACTATGTTCTATAGTGGACACATGCTACTGTGCTGTTGTTGATATATTTATTAATTGGAGGATCAGAGATCTTGTTTCATAGTGTGCATTCATGCTTTGTTAGAATTGTAAGAAGAAGATAACTAAGAAAAAATATTGGCTAAATATTAGCTGGGACTGGATAGGCTCACATGTGGGTGGAGATATAGAGATATCTTCAGCCTAAGAAGATACCATCTTGATCAAATGATGTACTGAATATATTGGTGGTAATGGAAATTATTTATTGAACCCAAACCTCCACAATTGAAAGGTTTGAGACATTTCTGACCCGGCGTTGGAAATATTGTTCTGATTTGTGCCCCAACAGACAGCCGCAGTATCAATTTATGAATGATTATTTGGTGTCGGTAATAGAGACTAATAGACTTAGGGTTTTTGAAAGGAGCAAACTGCTTGTGGAAATTCTGAAGTTCATTGTTGGAATTTTTAAAAAATGCTGCTGGAATTGCTGGCACCAACATTTTCAAAAGTATTATGCATCAGCGAGAAGGCTTATATGGTAAAGAACGGTTTAGGTTTACAAGTGCAGGTTTTGGGGTTAGAAATTCAAAAAAAAAAAAAAAAAAGAACCAATGGTTGTTCAAGGAATGTGAAAAGGAAATCATCAATGGTATCTCGAGTACTTTTATGGTTGGGGTTTGTTGAGGTCAAATCTTTGATGAAGGGAAGGATTGGTCTTGTTAAAGTGTGACATTTAAGGGTAGAAGAGGGGTCAAAATTTGATCTACTTCTAGGGATGTGAGGTTTATAAGTGCAAAAAAGATAAAAGAAACATAAAGGAAGAAATGTAGTAGCAACAGTTAGGTGTTACATCTAGAATTGAATTGCATGACATAATCCCAGATGAGTTTCAAAAATTTCAGAGAAGTCTTCTATATTGTTCCCTACTCCAAATCTTGAAATTACTTATATTCCCTTTAACTCCCAAAAGCATAAAAGAACGTATAAGAAATGGCCAGCCGCCTGATCTCAAATAAACATAAACTAGGACTCAAGGTTTACACTTAATAATAAAAGCCTTAAAAGGTCTCTGGTGGCTAAATTATGGGCATTTGACATTCTGAATACGCAAGCCAAAGCTTGGCCTTGGGATGTCCAGTCAACTTCATTAGCTGCAGTATAGACAGGTGTATATGACTTCTTAAACGAAACAGTGTTTTGAAATCATCAAAGTGGGAGTTTAACAATGTGAGTTCCTATCTTGCAAGTAAGGTTTGGTAGATCCTCAATCATTTTTAATGGTTCAATATGGTACATTGTGTTTCAGCCTTGCACCTAAAGCAGATCCGGACAAATCTAACATATTTTCTTAGTTATTCCTCATTTTCCCTTACTTTTATTTCTAAGTGAGGTGAATGTTTTTTTTTTTTTGGTGATAAATATGACCCTGATGATATAACTTGTTATTCTGTGATATTTTTAATATATAAGCATCGTATTGTTGTTTTGCTTTCAGGTGCAAGTTATGCTTATTGGATTATTTTATTTATATATTTCTAAATTTTCTGGGCATTATAAATCTGCATGGTAGATTCTTTATTGGAGCTAATTAGTCAGATCAAAACTATGTTGGTTTTCTGTCACAAAGTTGATTGCTGGTGCTTATTTGTGTCTTCTGTGGTCTGCTAGATCTACTCCTCAACTGCTATTACATGTTAAATTTATGGCCCTTGTTATTAGTGAAAAATAAACGGGATACTTGAATCTTGATCTTCTCTAATACGTAATCTTGAAGTTCCAGTCTGTTGGTTTTATACGCTTTAAGCTGCACCACCATAGGCCTAATGAAATTCTAGCATATGCCGCGTTTCAAATAGAAGTTGCTATGAGATGGGGGCAACTGATTGCTAATGACCTTTGCCTAATGGTCATGATCATCTGCAATCTAGGCCAGATGTTACCCCTCATGAGCTCAAATTAGCATGTCCATGATTATCTTTTGTTTCTTATCGAACAAATGATAATTAAAGGTCAAGCTTTGTGGTTTTAATTATTTATTTCTTTGTTTATTTTGAGTTTCTTGACGCTGACTTTTCCATCATTGACAATTGCTATGAACCATCATTCTTGATGAATCTGAAACTTATTTTAACTATGTGGTGTTGATGGCAGTCACGCATCCACCATGTAAACTGCCACATTTCTAGACAGTATACCAATAATTCATGGTCAAGTCAGCATAATTCATGCATTTCACATGTTCATATATCTCTTTAGTGTTCAGGTGGTTTGATCACTCTACTCTCTGCATGGCAAATAAGTACTGGCTTGATCATTGTGTTTTTGGAGCACGGTGTTCTGGTCCTCACTATCCAGTGCAGTTCCCAATTTATTACCTGTACTTCTATTCTTACTTCGCGTTTTTGTGGTAAAACAGAGTTTCCTCAGCTAAATGACATCTTAAAGAAACATGGAGCCGAAGGGGAAGAGGAATTGGGGCAAGCACAATTTGCACAATTGTTACAGCCTGTTGTGCAAGAACTGGCGGATGCTCTGTCCAAAAAGCATGTCGTCGTTATTCAGAACATCAGGATCATTAATGGTTCCAAGCTTAGAAAGGTTGTTTATCATCCCTGTTGTTGCCTTTAATTTAAGTCCTATACAGTGTTCCTACCCAACCAACCTGTTCTTTGGAATGCACTTGCTATATTATATGTGGTTATTCTAATCATTCTTGGAATCTTTAGCGCCTGCGTTGCTTTTCATAGTCTCTACCATGTTGCTTCACCACTTCTGAAAAATTGTTTGGCCAGAGGATAATTGTGATTTTTTCAGGAAATACCGACTGTAAGTTAGATACCTCTAAACTGAATGAGAATAATAGAAATGAAGGAAGTTTGTGTTGTGAACCTTGGAATTATTTGGACTAATTTTTCGGGATTTGACGAGTTTTTCAAGAATTGTTTACAGTATTAGAGATTTATGATTGGTAGAAATATATGGAAATGAGTATTAATTATTCTATACCACAAAAAGCTCCAAATGGTCAAATGACTTCTTCAAGAAATTTGATAATCTAGTCCAAAACCACGCGTGTCATATATAGAAATGTCCAATGTTAAGATATATGCTCTAAATTCAGACAATCTCTTGAATGACCCTGCAGCTTTTGTCCGCGGAGAAGCAATTGAACGAGGTCATAGAAAAGATATTGCAGGATATGCACAGTGCAAAGGATGGGCAAAGGAGCACAGAAGTCATCAGGGGTTTTCTGGAGAGGAACAGTAAAGAGTTGGGTTTACCACCATCAGAAGCCGAAGAAGCAGTGGTTCTTCTCTACGATGCTGTATTTGCGGATGTAGAGCAAAGAAATAGTGTTGCAGGATCGGGCAAGGATGAGGTCGGGGTACTTGTAAAGCAGATCCTTGAGAATTTTGTGGAGCAGCTTGAAGCCAGTCCAGTTTTTCATGATCAGGGCAATTGAATGAGGCTAGATGGTATAACTTCTCTACTCGCATGATACATTTTCTTGTTATTTTTACAGTATTACGTGTCACACTTTTGGATGTATCGGTATACCACATGACAATTTTGAATTTCAGTGTTCGTATATCCCTTCTGTTACAGTTTGATCTGAAGTTTCAAAATATTAATGTGGAACTCAATGTTTAATCATGAATCAACAGTCCTGTTGATGGGTGGAGATGCCCCTAGTATAGACACTGTCCTCTTTGCACACCCTCTGTGCTCACGGTTTTCAAAAGGTGTCTACACAGTTAGGAGGCATTCACACAGACGTGTCATGCACCTCTCTTCCTACGCGATGTGGACGTCATATAGCTAGCATAAAACCTTGTCTTCCTTCTCAAGATGGACCCTTGGTCTAACATCTTAAATAACAGCCCCACTGTAGTTAGGGTTAATGACCCATACACTTTCACCTCCCCAACACACACTGACAGAGCAAGTGACAATGACCAGCATGTCCCAGCAATGTAGGACTCCTTTCGAGTGTTGAAGAGTGAAAACTACCACATGCCTCTATGTGCCCCCACACATATGAAAGACTCTATTTTCTTTCTTGCAAATTGCCCATCTCTTGGTGCTTATAATATATGGAGTCATTGTCAAAGACCAGAGATGGTTACATATGAAGAGGCATTAAATATAAAACGAGTAGCATGCTATGCTAGCTTCAATTGCTTCCACGTAACGAAATGGGTTCCCCATATTATCTAGCGAACGATAAACCCTGCAAAATAGCCTTGTCAGATGTTATCCTTTTAAAGTGTACCTTTTGAACAACTTGAATTCATGTCCAAACAAAACCCGATGGCCGCGTGAATCGACCATATTAATGAAATTGCATATCAGAGGATATTCCAAGGCATCATGGCTCAACATTGCAAGACAATGACATTATAGGGACCACAGGACAGATGAGAAATTCAATTGGGGTTTTAATTCCAAATATAGAATGCAATTTGTACTACATACACACCCTATTCCCCATCTCCGGGATCATCTACTGGATGCAGAAAGAGCAAGAGTCAACGAAAAGCGGTGATTTAAATGGATCTTTCTCTGTTACCATATGTCAATCAAAAAAGGAAAATAGAGGCGAAAAATACCAGAGATTAATCGAACCTCGATGTTCTTGAGCATGAGATTTTGGCACCTACAATGATTCATTTCTAAATCACAGGAACATAAACCATCCATCCAACTTAACAAAAAAAAATAAAAAAAGGTTTAGATGGATGGCCTTTTTATCTCCCATACCATGATAAGTTGATATCCAATCAGCCAGTATTGATCACAATCCATCAAAATCTAAAATTCCACAAGCAGCAAGAAAAAAAGACTATAAAACTTTATTTTCCCTATATTGTTCCTGCAACTTCGGGCTGATTTTTTGTGCCATATGAGTAGTTGGGTGTGAAATAAGGTCGCAGTCTCATGTTCAATTTCAAAAAGCATCAAATTCCAATCTTGGACTTACACGTTACCCGGTGTGCAGATGAGGATGTGTGTGCCTGTGATTTAGTGATAAGAGACAGCCCCCCTCCCAAAAGGGAGTAGGGACACTCTGCTATGGAAGAGGATCTCCTCGTGTGCAGAAGAGGATGTGTGTCCCCCGTGCACCAAACACAGTATCCCACAACAAGAAGAGAATTCCCTCGTGTGCGTCCTGTGCACCAAAACAACGATTAATCGCCTTCCCAAGGGGGTGGGGAGGAAAAACCCTATGTTATGGAAGAGGATCACCAAAACATTGCTGCGCTGAGAGGATCCAGCTCCCACTGTCACCCTCCCCCGTGATTTTTGAGAACAAAAGTTCCTTCAAGATTACTGATTTTTCTCAACGGTAACAATTTCTTCGAAGACAGCCAATACCAACCATCCATGAAACATGGGATAACAAGCTCTTCAAATCCATGCATAAAACTAACAGTAAAATCAAGATGCATCAATATATTAAACAACCAATAGATTTCGATATTACATAATCCTAGAGCAGATTTGCCCTGAGAAGCTAGATAAATAAAATACAAAGGGAGCATGGAAGCATCCCTTACAACCACTATATATATATATATATAGCTTAACCAAAATAACATCTCAAGACCTAAACATGGTGCATTCCATAATCTTCATAATAGCCAGTGATATATATTGCAGCCACATCATATAGTAAAACTTGGCTTTATTTAGCTCAGAGACTGTTACACGACTTTCGACCAATTCACTCCTTGCCATCGGCAGCACGAAGGGAGCCAAGCTGAACAGGGGCTTGGGTTCCCACCACCTTCGAGGACCCATAAGCTGACAAATCAAGACCCTGGGATTTCTCCTTTTCGAGCTGTTCCTTGATCCAGAAATATGTAAATCTCAGCCCATCCTACAAAATTACAAATTAGTAAATTTAATCGTGCCATGTACAAGGATGGACGTGGATATAAAACATGACAAGCAATTATATGGGCATGATTTAAAGTTTGTCAATTTCCATTACTTTTACAATCAAATTTGGTTTACGTTACAAATTTAAGAATCTTCTAAACAGGCAGGTCAGAAATTGTTAAAAAGGTACCTTCAATTTCATTGTTGGAGCCCAACCAAGTTTCTCTTTGATCAGTGTGTTGTCTGAGTTACGACCACGGACACCCTCTGGACCAGGGATGTGGTGGATGGGGAGCTTCTTGTTCTCAAAGCTAAGAACAATCTCAGCCATCTCATTCATGCTAACCATCTCATCACTTCCAATGTTCACTGGCTCCCGGAAGTCTGACTTTGTCAACCTAGATACAATAGTTCAAACCAAACACGGTAACAGAATTAACGAAAGATAATGAAGAATAACAAGTGCATGCATATTAATCATACACACAGAAACAATGTTTTTATACACATGCATCCAAACACACAAAGAGACAAAAGCAAATATAAACACAAAAACAAACGGACATGCACATGCACACACTCAAACTGAGACGTCTTCCCATGATGAAAGGTCTGACTGACATCATAAGAAACATAGGTTTTTTCACTCATCTCCCTCCATCACATAATAATTAGGACCCAAAAACTGTATTTAAAAATCCATATATTGATTAGCAGGTGTGTGAAAAAAGTGCATAAAAGGGAAGACCTGTTTGCATAGATGGTAAGAAACAAGAAGGCCAACCAAAACTAACCTGGGATAAAGTAATTAAAAATGACTTTAAAGGCATGTAGTTATATATAAGAGGAGAGATGGCGTGTAAATAGAATCAAATTTAAAAAGATAATTCATGTAGCCGATCCCATTCATTCGGGATAAAGGCAAGAATGATGAAAGATGACCAACTAACGATGGAAAGCATATGTATTTGCCACTTGAAAGTGGAATGGGGAAGTAGTATGCCAAATACTCCTGAGATATATGGCATGATTAGGCTAGGCTAATGTAGATCACATACTCGGAATGCTTTTAAGGTTTCCAAAAATTCAATTATCAAGTTGGACAAGTGGGTGATTTATTCAAATATAAAGCTAATAAAATGCAAAAGTTGCTTATCTAATTCAATATATCAATGTACCATGGCACTTTCCTAAAATTGTCACCAAGAAACGTCTATCGTATTTGATGTTAGTTCATTCTTTTTGTTATTTTCTTCTTATAAATAAGAAACAAAAGGTAAAAATGAGAAAGAACATTTCATATAGTATTAATTTGGAGTGCTAAAACAACAATGAACCATCTTTATAAGTATGCAATCTGAAGTTTAAATTGCTAAGGTGTTGACATTTTTTCTATTGTAAATCTGGAGAAGACATACCCAATAGTTTGACAATATTTTAACCTACGGAACTCAAAATCATTTTGAAAAGGAACACTTTGAGCCAAATGAAAAGTGGATATCTCAAAGCTTACCTCAGCACACCTTCAACACACTCATCAATGAAGGTAAAAGATCGGGTTTGAAGTCCATCACCCCACATCTCAAACTTATCGGTAGAAGTAAGAGCTTTCCTGCAAAAAGCAGCAGGAGCCTTTTCTCTCCCACCTACATTACATAAAGCAAAGCAACAAAATTAATAAAAATCTGTTGATAGATAAAAAAATGTTTTGTATAACTATGTAAGTGATTGCCACAATTAAAGTTTACCTTTCCATGTTCCAAAAGGACCATAAATGTTATGGAACCTTCCAATCCGACATTCAATTCCGAAATCTTTGGTGTAGTGCTTGCACAGCTCTTCTGTTGCAAGTTTCTCCAAGCCATAAGCATCTTGAGGCTAAGCCAAAGCAAAAAATGAAATTTAACAATTATTTCCAATATATTGCAACACAAAATACAATCATATCAGCTTGTCAGCCTCAAAAAAGTAGCATACCTCCGCAGGCCATGCGTCTGCCTCCTTCAAGCTCACATTAGTGTCCAGTTGCTTAAATTCAGGATAGATGCAAGCACTAGAGGCATAGAAGAACCTGCAATGAAGCCACCTCTCAGATATTAGAAATACTGCCAAAACATACTTATTGTGAATGAAACAATACGAAGATGAACTGAGGAACCATGAATTAAGAACGTCTTCCAATTCAGAACCCAAATTTCAATTAAGATGTAAAAATCAAATCTAACCAAAGTAGATCAAATCTAAGGCAACATACCTCTTGACTCCATTGATCCTACCAGCCTCAAGCATGTTGAAACTAATCATCGTGTTGTTATACATGATAACCGAGTGGTTGGACTGGATGAAGCCCATGCCACCCATATCAGCAGCAAGGTTGAAGACATGGTCAACTCCTAAAGTGACCTTCAGGCAATTATCCATCACCCTAAGATCCACTAGATGGAACTCATGACAGAACATATCTTCTGTCATGTGCTCATTCCTCTTCCAGTCAGAAGCTATAATATAATGGCCCTCACTCTTCAAACGCCGAGCAATGTGAGAGGCAATAAATCCACCTGCACCAGTGATAGAAATGCGGAGCTTCTCTGATGGCCAGTAAGGTTCTCTCTCAAGGTTCTCATAGGTGTACGAGCCATAACTGGTTCCATCAGTACTTCCCATTCTACATGAACAAACAATGAGCGTGAAGAGATTCAAATTAGAGACGAATTTATACATTAATAGACTGGGATTAAAGGTAAAATAGAACACTAAACCTGGCAAAACTGACTAATACAAATTATACAATTCAGAAAGAAAACAAAACACCAACTTTCCTGCAACCTTCATGGCTTCATATTGTGTGTGTTTATACAAATAGAGAAATCAAACTAACACTATTGGAGTCTTAGACATATACCAAATTCCGTGTATTAAATTATTCAAAACAAATACAACCGGAAACAATCCTGCCATCCAATCCAAGCAAATGTAATATGAAAACATTGCCTAGAACTTTCGAGGATAACTTAAAAAATTAAAACAAAATTTTTAAGTACTTGAAAACTAAACATAAAGGAAGTGAAATCAACAAATATGTTTTTGAAAAATAAAGGGGAAAAAAAGGCATCTTTATCATTTAGATGAGTAAAAAGCACAAATTATAAGAGAGAACTAACTCTAGCAGAGCAAAGGAAGATTAAATTGGAAGGGCATACATCAAAAAATTAGAACACACATAAATATATACTTAAATCACCTCACATTACATACACCAGAACATTACATGAAAAAATAATAATAATAAATAAATAATTAATTAATTAATAATAACTTTATGATTTGAAACCCTATACCATTCCTGAAGAAGAAGAAAGAGGAAAAGCAATCCACAACCCAAATCATTTAAATTAATAGAAAAATAAAATGGCAGACAAAGGAACTGTAATAATGAGCCTACATCACACTATCAATCATATCAAAAGAATATATGATTATATGGATGTTTAGCAAAAACCCAGAAGCACTTTTCAGTTTAGATGAATTGAAACACAAAAAAAATCTCACGGGGTTATCTCTTTAGTTCTACTTAACTAGATATATGTCTATATCTAATAAATATTAGGGTTTCTAAGAAGAAGAAATGTAAGGGACATGGTATTTTATTTTCGGGTCAATGTGACCCCAAAAATCGATTGAATGAAAAAACAGAAAGAAACCCATTGAAATTGAGACCCAATACTAGGCACCCAATGAACCCAGAAGACAAATTTTGAGAAAATCAAATCCAACCATGTTTCAACATCACATGAACAGAGGAATGAGAAAACAGAGTGATTTTTAAGAACCCCAGAAAATCAACTATGATTCTTACCTTGAATTTGATAGTGAAGCTTGGACAAAAGAGAAGAAGATAATAGAGGAGAAGGAATATGGCTGAGAGTACTGAGCATGTGACGCTCGAGGTGTCCTATATATAGACCAGTAAGGCAGAAAAAGAATAGAAAAAGCCCACTCAATTATTTCCAATGAGAGTGATTTTAGAGAGAGAGAGAGAGAGAGGATTCACTTTTTTTTTTAAATATATATTTTTGATTCTCTCTTAATATAAATAGCAAAATAAATTTGATACTTGAAACTCTTGTGCCAGTGTGCCACGTTGTTCATTTTATTAAAAACATAATACACTTCCTTATTTTATTTCTTTTTATTGAATAGGAGTATCAAACTTTCATATGGTTGTAAGCACTACCTGTTTGTTGGTTGTTGTACGGAATTAAAATTAAATTGATTTTTTTTTTTTTCGGACAAAGAGAGAATAATATTAATCAAATTAAATTATTACAATGTGTTAGAACCTAAATTATTATTCATGAATAAAAATAAATCTGAGTCTATTTATAATATCGGAAGAGGGCATTAAAATTTCTTTATCATCAATAGAATTGTTAAATTGAACAAGATAAATTGAGGAAACGAGAAATTCTCCGAATTTCATTTGGCTGATTCTTGGTATAAGTAAAAAAAATAATAATAATAAATAAAAAAAAATAATAATAATACTTTATCTTTTTCTTCAAAAACAGGAAACTAAGATCTCTACAAAATTGAATATATACAACACTTCTCTTTAAGTGTCACCTTTTGTAAAATTACCATCAACCCTATTTTTTTTCTTCTAAAAGACAGATACATTTTTTAGAACTTTAATAGGAGAATAAATTATAGATTAAAAAATTCTTTAATATAAAATTTAAAATAATAAATTTTGGTTTATACAGAGTATAAATAATACCGTATTTGTATAGTTTTATAAATTTTTACTTTGTAAATTTAAATTTATGAAATACAGGAATAAGTAATTTTCGGTTTGTAATTATTTTCTTTTTCTATGACTCTTTTCTTTTTTTTTTTAATTCTAACATTGCTTAGCCAAATCAGATTCGAAATTTTTTTGTATTTTCTCTTTCGCATCGCCTACCATTAGTATATGTTAGAAAATGTTAAATCAATGATAGACCTAACTCCCCCCAATTCTAGATTCTATAACCCATTCCCTCTCACTCGAATGTTATAATTTTTATTGTTATATAGTGTAATTGAATAAATACCTTAAAAAAGAATAAAGTAATAATTATATCTTTGGTTGGAGAAAATTCATTCACCAACGTGAACGAATCAAGCATTTAATTGATCTAATGGAAACGACTCCTTAGAAAATCTATGTTGTCTTTAATATTATATAATATTTTACACAATTACAATAGTATCATAATTTAAATCTTAACCTTCAATATGAGGAGAAAAAAATACGATTTAAATGATATATTTACTCAAATAATTTCCCAAAAAAATAAAAACATTAACTAATTTATATTGGGTTTTGTTTTTTCTCCAAAACATATTACTATATTTATGATATTATCAGTTTCCGTGGGTATGAAAAGGCCGCGATTGAGTGAGGAGGCCCACAAACGTCCATAGGGAAGAAAATTCCCGGAAAGTGTTAAATGTGAAAGGGCATGTTTGGAGTGGGCCACTTGAAGCTGCTTGGAAAGCGCTTCCCATATGGTGCCGATTGTTTGTACGTTTAAACCCATCTTCCAACAATTGTACCAACTCTTCTGAATTTAACTGGACAATCCAATCCAGGTTTTGTTGGATTCAGGTTAGCTCGTAATTATGTGAAATGAATCTTCCTTTTCTCTCCACTAACTTTGTGTCTGTATGTTCTCTTAGCCATGACGTTATTGACACGAATTCCAGAAATAAATCATTGAGATCTCACAACTTTGTGTCTAACCAAAATTATGTGATATTAAGGGCTATCCAAAATTATTTGATATTAAGGACTCGTTTGGGAAGTGTTGTGTGGTGTAGTGTAATACTTTAGTTTGAAACAGAATAAATGTTTTGTGATGTAATGTTCTGAAATGAGAATAAAACATGTTTTAAAAACTAAATCACAAAATGCAACTCATGCAACAGTTGTAAAAAAATAATGCAACACTTTTACTTTCAATATATATAATACTTATGCAACATATTACATCATGTTATAGCACCATTAAATTTCATTCACAATTTAAAGTTTTTGCATTTAAGATTGTAATAAAGAAAGATAAGAAGGTGCTGATTGTTTCATATGGTTATGTTCATTCAATAATAAATATTACTCCGGCTAAAATTATAAAACCCCCCAATACTTTTAAATTTGCTTCATACCCCTAACATGTGTCAAAAATCCTTTGCACTTTAAAATTTGATCCCATTGCCCAAAATTCATGTCCAAACCGGTTAACGTATTGTGAAATGACAAATTTGTCCTTACTATTTAATGTAAAATTAAAAACTGAAATTTTATTTTATTTTATTTTATTTTATTTTTTTTACAAACACAAAACCAAGAAGAAGAAGACCTTGTTTTTAGAGAGAGGATTTGTTGGAGAGTCGACTCGATGAGCATATAGATTGCAAAGCTTCTACAAAGGGTATTTTTGTAATTTAAAAAATAACAATTTTTAGTTTTTAATTTAACATTAAATAATAAGATTAAATTTGTCATTTCATAACCCAATTAACAGGTCGAATAAGGATATTGGGGCTTTTTGACACAAGTTGGAAGTTTATGACACAAATTTTAAAGTATTGGGGATTTTATTATTTTAATCCAAATTTTTATTTTTAAAATGCATTATGTAATAAAATGACAAATATGACATTTTTTATAAGCTTTTTAACAACCGGGTGTTTCGCAATTCGATTCAAACACTTAAAATATTAGAAAACGTCCAACTCATATTCACTTGTAACAAGTTCCCCTTGTAACACCTAACCTAAAGGAGGCATGAATGTAATTTACTCTAAAATATAAAACAAATTGTTTTTAACCTTAATAAAAAATAATTAAAAAAAGCTCCGAAAAATTCCATAAAATCTTGGATTGGCTGTGTGTGATGAGGAGAGAGCCAATTGGCACAGAAAGAGGCCTTAAAACGACGTAACATTGGGCCGAGTAAACAATCAAAGTAGTTGGGAGTGAAAACTTGAATTTAGATCAAACGTGGGTTGGGTACAGAAGAATGGGCCGATATATTTTTTTAGACTAATCACTACTACTTGGGTTGGGTTCTGAAGCTATGGACTTAAAATAAAGCATATGCTTGTCTAGAGTTTGACTTCTAGAATTTTAGAATATTAGAAAGTTCTTTAAGGGTTGGTGAATTGAAAATTTTGGATATTTAAATGGAGATTTTTAGAAAGTAGATTTTGACTCTAGATTGTAATTCAATCGTAAGAGTTTCAAAGATCACATCAAACAATTAAGGGGGAGTGAGTAGGCTATGGGTCCTGAGTAATAGAAGTATAACTAATTGATGAGTATTGATTTTTTTTGGAGAGTTTTCATAAAATTTAAATATACACATGAACTTGTATATAAAACTTGATTGTAAACCGACAATTGAATATTCCGGTTAAATACTTGATAGGGTTAATAGGACACAATGTAAAATATACCTCTCTGAGGGTTCGGATAGAATGTGATTAAATCTAGGAAAAAAATTATAATATATTAATATTAAATAATAAATAATAATATTTATTTAAAAATTAACTCCTCCCCAGAATTCTAATGGTACGATTTCCTACTAATAAATTTCTTAATTTTGTATTATTAGGTCTTAATTTTGTATTAAGAATCTAACTTTGTTTCGGAATGTTTGATATGCGGTCCGAAGTATATTTGATATTATTAATATTAAATAATAAATAATAATATCTATCAATTTGGTGCAAATACCCCCCTATTTGCATAAAAAGACTATGATACCCTCTTGTCAATGAATTATATTTATTTTTCCTATTAATCAAAGTATTGTGATACAATAATATGGGGACCAAATTTTTTTTTTTTTATTTTATGAAAAATAACAAAGCTATATATATATATATATATATATATATTATATTTTGTTTCATCATAGACCAAAAAAAAAAAAACACTAAAGAACATAATTGAAAAGATAAAAGTAAATGATTTTATATGTATAATTGAAAATTTAAAATTTTCTTACCAAAATTTATTAGGAAGAATAAACAAATAATTTGAAAGCATTATATAAAATATGAAATTATATCTATATAGTTTTCATATAATTTTAGACCTAAATAAATAAATATATAGATTTAATATAATTAAAAGTAAAATTGTATAGTATTCATATAATCTGTGACCTAAAAAATAAATATTTACATTTAATATGTTTCATACTGACACCAAAACTGTAAAACATTCATATACTCTTTGACCTAAAGAAATAAATATTTGCATTTAATATGATTCATATTTAAAGTAAAACAAAAAAAAAAAAGCCAAAGTAAAAGAAAACATATTCTTTGATCTTGATGAAATGAGAAAAGGGCAAATTAGGATTTTTAAATTTACTTTATGTCAATTTTGAACAAAAAGTGGTTAGAGGAGCTTATTTGCACATTTTTTTAATTTTATGGAATGAAATACACATTTTAAAAAATGAGGGATGCATTGTGCACATAAACTATATTACATGGGGTTTTTTTTGCACTTAACCCTTAAATTTACTTTATGTCAATTTTGACTAAAAAGTGGCCAGAGGGGCTTATTTGCACCTTTTTTTGAATTTTATGGACTGAAATGTATATTTTCAAAAAGGAGGGACTACTTGTGTACAAAACCTATATTACAAGGGCTTTTTTTTTTTTTTTTGGCACTCAACCCCTTTTTTCAATTATTTAGGGTATAGCTACATGAATTGTATGTTTCAATTCTGCTTTACATAAAGTTTTAATCTTAGTCCATCCATATGCTATCATATATTTCTTTTTCTTCTCTTCCTTTTTAATATTATTCTTAATTTTTTTCCCCCCCAAAGTATTACCTGAATTAGACTATGTCAATTTTTCTAACCTATACACACAAAAAGTCTTATTTGCACATGTCCAAACCATCTTAACCAATTTTCTTTCATAATATCAATAATATTATGCTACCAAA